ATAATAAACTATCAAATAGCAAAAAGAGGTTAAAATGATCTCCATCTTGACCAGTATCAGTAATAATAATGCAATAATTTTACAGTAATTTTCCTGAATTATGATTACTTTTACTTTTGATACACTAACTTAATTTCTGTAATAATACATTCATAGGTGACATTTTGAATGCAGCACTTTTACTTGTAATAGAGTATTTTAATATTGCTGTATTGCTGCTTTTACTTAAGTAAAGGAACATAACTCTACCTCCACCACTTATAGAACGGCTGGTAATTGTGATTATTGACGTTGTCCAGCTTTGAGTTTGTAAGACTGCCAGATATTCTACCTGAAAATAATAATAATTGAATTTTCTGTACTCACTTGCCACCGTGTGTGAAGCGGCTGCCAGCAACAGCAACAGAACAACAGACGTCTGCATTGTCAGTGCACCTCCTCTTCACGAAATATCCCTTTTGTGAGCACCAGGCAACAGAAAACAGGCTTTATAAACTCTCTGAGGTTTGACCTCACGTAGAGTATTAGTAGAAGAAACGCCTCCTTCCTCACGCAGACCTGCAGACAGCTCCTCCTCCAATTAAATTTTAGGGTCTCCTGGACTGATTGTGATTTTTGTATTTACAGTAAAAGCACGACTCTGGGATTACAGTCGTACATAAAGTAGAGCCAGTGCCGCATAATCACATAAGAAATGCAACAATTCCACAACTTTTTGCAAGCATGGCAAAAGACTGGATCACAAGACATGCTCGAGTGTGCACACACTGAATGAATGAAAGAAATAACTTTCACATAAAAGGTGAACCTCATTAAGCCAAGCTCAGTGAAATACATATATATTTAGATATACTCAGCTGTGGAATTTAACTGGTAAATTTATTCAAGGCCCTAATACTTTCATTTTATACCCCTGCCCCTCTACATTTCAGAAAGCAAAACCTTGTAATGTTTATATTTCACAGCTGTAGTTAATTTGTACATTAATTTACATACAAAAGTAAATCTAAGGCCATAAAAAATTAAAAACTTAAATTAGCCAACAGTGTATATAAAGTAGTTCCAATTAGCTCCATCTAAACCAGTTAAAATATATAAATACTGCTTACACATTAATGCATCAGTTTTGACTATCTAATAATATAATATATGATCATCTGATAGTCACAGGGGCTTTTTTGTTTGCATTAACAAGTTAATTTTACTAATAATATTTCTGCACTTTTACCTAACATTTTCAATGCAGCATTATCTAGTATTAGTAACATTATTAGTATTTCTGCTTAAATAAAGAGTAGGAACATGTCTTCTAGCACTGAATATAGTTCAGTGCTTGATTATATATGTGTAAAGAGAGTTGCACAGTTGAATTGTAATAAAATAAATATTTTTCAATAACCTAGTGTAATTGTTCTTTTCTCATGCTGACTTGGCAATGTGCGAGTCCAGTATTATAAAACCAACAAAAAGTGTATACATTTAAGGAAAAAGAATATTACCTAAAGCTGCAAGCTGTGTTGGACCTGCCCTCATGGTGTGATCCAATCGTGTGTCCTGGGATGATACGTGTGCTATAAAAATTTATTGCATGTAAGTAAAACATGGTGCAGGGGCTGTGTCGTTAAAGGGTCACTTTTTGTTGCCAGTAGGTGGCGCTTTGAATTTGAGTGATTATTGGCATATGGATGTCTTTTGGGCAAGAATGTTATCAAACCTGTAAAGTTTGGTACATATGTGAGCACACACTGAAATTATAACAACTTCATGTTTCATGGCGAATCATCAATGTTTGATGCCACGTCACGGACACGTTCTTTGATCAAACTTCAGAGATAGTACAAATTTTCATCATGAATGCCTTTTAGACTGCACAGCAAAAATTTGAAGTCGATCGGATTAATTCTCTAGAAAGAGTTTGTTATTGTAGGGAATGCCAAAAATGACCATTAAATCCAAAATGGCTGACTTCCTGTTGGGTTTAAGGCATTGCTCCATGAGGCTTTTTTGTAGGTCTGGACATGATATCTGTGCCACAAACATTTTGTACGTTTCAGGGAAAGGGTGGCCTCCGGGGCTGCGCCAATGCACAAAAACATGCCACGTCAATTTTCGTGGGACTTGAATTTTGTGTAAAGTTTTGTGAATTTTTGAGCATGTTTAGGCCGCCAAAAATGTGAGTCATTTGCAGAAGAAAGAACATGAATAGCTTCAGTTTCAATAGGGTCCTTGCATGTTTATGCTCGGGCCCTTATCAGACTTTTTAAAGCTCAGTACAATACAACAGGGTCATATTTAGATCATGAGGGTTACAGTATCCTCCTTTTTGGCTCTTAGATGCCAATTCCACAAAGCATGTGCTCTCAAACACAATATGAATAGTCACCTAAATCTCTGCTAAAATCACCTGACCTATTTTGTGCTGCCCGTCTAATTATTCCTAATTACGCACGGATTTACTCCGAAATTCAATGTTTCTACTGTTGTTTATGTTCCGTCAAGTCCACATCACGGTTTCTGTAGAACTTATATTAGCTGAAAATGCACTATACTTGTCACTGTGATAAAACATAATGTATCAAACAAGGAGTTGTTCATTTCTGTGTCATTACAACAATAGGTCACACAGTCTGCTGAGAGAGGCTCTGGGAGGAATGCAATGCTAATGAGGATTACTGAAGCACTTGTGACTCCCTAAATTCATCCGGCTTTGTCCTTCTACCCGGAGAACTACAAACACACTTTGTTGAAAGATTTTTTATTTTTTTGGTCTCCATATCATATGCCGAACTGTGACACCTTTTAAACCTCTTTTTAAACAATGACAGCATTCACAGCAAATCCTTTTCAAAACTGTTTCATCTGTCATTACGTCGAACACGAACCCTTTAACTCCCGTCAGGCCTCAACATGTACTTTAGATACACACCCATAACAGGAAAACATTGCAAGCATACTATAAAATATGTCACCTCAATACAGTAAAGACTGTGCTGCATCAGAATCAGATCAGAAAAAAAGCTAAAGTTAGAGTTAGAGTCTTGAACAGTTTGCCAGATATTCCAGCCAGGTTATAAATTATAGATCGGCATTTTGCAAAATAAGTTTATTCATTTTCTTGCTGAGAGTTCGATGAGATGATTGATACCACACTTCTCTTCTGTTAAGTACTGATGATGATGAAGCTACAGCCAGTTAGCTTAGCTTAGCATAAAGACTGGAAACGGGGAAACAGCTAGTCTGGCTCTGTTTGAAAGAAACAAATGGCATAACAACAACTGCAGATGTTACCAAAGAGAAAGAAAGACATGAGACAAAACATTCAGCACACTGTACTGATAGTTCAGAGTAGATTTAATGTAACTGAGCAATTTATTTTGGGATTTGCACCTTTCAAAATCTGCAAATGGAAGAAACATAAAGAGGTAACCAAACCAAATAAGTATAAGATATTTCAGAGCAATAACTGGCTAGCTAGCTGGTTGGCTTGCTTGAAGGGAGGAGGCTCAGGCTCAGAGGCGGAGTTGGAGGTGGGTAGCGGGATGAAGGGGTATCTATTATCTACACTGTCCCTTTATAAATAAACAATAAATTAATAAAAAACCTTTATCGCCCTACTGCAGTGGTTCCTATTGGCCTGATGACCCCTCAAAATGAAGCAATGTCTATTTGTTAAATACGACATTGACTGTGATTTTCAGATTGTTTATCTTAAATCATTTTTATAGGCCAGAGAAGGAGAACAATCGCAGTGTTTCATAAAAAAGCAACACAGAGCCAACTGGGCTAACTGTTTCCCCTGACCACTTATAGGCCTGAGGTTATTTTCCAAAATGTCAAACTATTTTCCTAAATGCTTGCTTTGTCCTTTTTGTCCTAAACTTCGGGACCCAGTCTTTGAACGCCTCAGAGGCTCCTCATCTAGTTGTTCTTATTTGTTTTCTGTGACTGCAGGACAGGAAATAAGTTTCAAAATCTGGAATGATAAATCTGACAACTTTGCTTCTGTTTCACTTGCTTTTTGATTTTTAGAGAGCATATACACCAAAAAAGTAACTTTTGTTCACTTTTATTGACAAAACAGATGCAGTTCTTCACACACATTGTTACCCCCGCTTCCTCCCTTAGAGAGCGTACTCATACTTTAAATTTTAAATGCAGTGTAGGCTAAATATTTTGCACACTCCCTGCACTAACTGTAATTTAAATAACAGCCATATTGTGCATAACCTTTATTATTCTTTTATCTTATCAACATCGTATTGCCAGTTTTGGATTTAATATTTATGATTACTTGACCTGCAGTACTTGCTCTACTTTTTTTGGTATTTTTCTACCTTGTATGTTTATTGTTAAGCACCAAAGCAAATTCCTTGTATGTGTAAACCTACTTCTGATTCGGGAGCCATCATCAGCCGGATTTCAAAAACGATGAGACTTCATATCGGGAAGAAATTGTTAGTCTTGTAGAGTGGTGCACAGACAACAACCTACTGCTCAATGTCAGCAAAACCAAGAAGCTAATAGTTGCATTTAGAAAAAAGGAGATAAAGACACTCATGTCTACATCAGTGGAGCTGAGGTGGAGCAGGTGAACAGTTTCAGGTTCCTGGGAATCAGCTTCACAGAGAACCTGACACGCTGGTGGAGAAAGCTCAAAAACGCCTGTATTTCTTAAGGACGTTTAAGAAGGCTAAATTCCTGGGCCAAGTTCTCGTCAGCTTTTAAAGAGGAGCAATAGAAAGCATCCTGACTAGAAACACCACAAACTGGCGTGTGATGTGCACGGCCCAGGGCTCTGCAGCGGGTGATTAAAACTGCTCCGTGAGGTGAGGTGCACACGCAGAGTGCAAAGGATATTAACCCCCAGTCACAGCCTGATCACCCTGCTGCCTTCTGGGAAGAGAATGTGACAAATAAGCCTTGTACCTTGGAAACCCCGTTTATCGACAGCGCCTGCAGTTCGTCAGTCTGTCCAGCGGGCGGCGCTGTGAATGAACTGCGCCACAGTGGAGGCGTTCAGAAGTAGAGCCGCTCCGGTTTGATTGGAGGAAGTAATACATCAACAAAGAAAGATGGCCGAAGTCATAGAACTGCAGAAACTGAAGGTTGGTAGTGCATTAAATATGTATTTATTACATACGTTAGGTGGGTTTATTAGGAAACATTACTTTCTAACCGTTGTTAGTTCCTATAGCAGTTAGCGGATGACTGAGATGAGTAAAGAAGTAAAGGTGTCCGCGGGGTGTGAGAGCAAACAGCCGGCGTGTGTTCACGCTGTTCATTCAGCTGCGAAGCTAACCTAGCCAACCGTACCGAGATAACTCAAATACCTGACGTTAGGTTACGCTAACGTAGCTGGGAATGAGTTTAAATTTACAAATATCAGTGTGATCGTGGGTTAAACCTGTAAATGTAACTCCTGTTGTTAGATATAAAGTGTCCCGCCATCTCTGATCCGGTCCAGTTAAATTTCCGACGCTTGTAAGGAAGTGTGTTTGACCTCCATCGCTCTCTAATTCATGTTAGCCAAAACATTAGCCCGCTAATAACGCTGTCTGTTTTTCACGCTTGAGTTTCTAAGATACTTCGATCATTAGCTGTCCGGCAAATTGCGCATCCTCTACCTCCCAAAAGTTTAGTAGTAAAGTTTATTAAAACATTTCTCAGTATTTCTCGTTGTGTCTTCCAGCGTCCTTGTTTCCAAGATCCACAGTGAACTTTAAGTCTTAACTTTTAAGCGGATAAAAAATGGACGATACATTCTTAAAATGAATCGGCCACTATTTTATCATAAGTTCTCATTAATCTTTAAATAAATCCCAAACATTACCATGTACCTTCCTATTTATTTGTCTAAAAATGTCTTTCTTGTGATAGTAAAGAGGATATACTTTATTTTTGGTTTGATGAATCACGTTGAGCTTTAGTTTTTACTAACAGTTTCTAGACCAAATGATTAATCATGGAAATAATCTGCACATTAAGTGAGAATGAAAATAATTGTTATTTGCAGCCATAAATTCTAGATCAAGTTGGCAACTCCATCTGCTGAGGATGACTGTGTTATCTGATCGAAATCTCCTGTAGTGCCATTGTTGATTGACAGTACAAACCATTTATTTTGTCTTTTAGCTGTATCGCCATGCAGACAGTTTCTGCTGGTGAACGGGATTTCAATTCTGTTATTAAAAATAATGTAAAGAGAAACATTGCTTTGCAGAAATGCCTTGCCTGTTACTTTGGATAATCCACAGATCTCTGGGACTACTTTGTACTAAAGAAATTGTCCCAAAGAACAGCGTGAACAACAAGGCAAGGTTGGTAAATGGCGCATGCTACATTAAACGTATTGTTTCTCTTTTTGATTTAAGCTTGCTGAACTGAGGCAGGAGTGTGATGCCCGAGGCCTGGAGACAAAGGGAAATAAAGGAGAACTCATTGCCCGACTTCAAGCCTATCTGGAGGAGCACGGTGAGATGAAATGGCCTTCACAAAATTTAAAAATAATTCTTGTTGTGGTCACTTGTTTCTGATGTGAGATGCTGTTAGTCGTTTATATGCATTCCTTATTGTGATAAATCACTGACCTTTCCCTCTGGCCCTTGTTCTCTCTGCTTTCTGGTGGTGGGAAATTTCTTTTGCCCATAATCCATACAACAGAGGAAGATGTGGACGTAGACGATGTGCTGGGAGAGGATACAGAGGTAATGTGGTTTTCACTCTTTCACTTTCACCTCTCAGACCTCATCACACCATTTTTGGAAGTAGAGATAAGTGTTAACATTATCTTTTTTTTTTTTTTAGGATTTCACTAAAGTTGAGAGTGCCAACGATGAGAAAGACATCAAGGAATCTGAGTCTACTGAGTGCGAGATGTAAGTTTATTGTCACTTAGTCCACATAACAAACAAACAATATATTACGTTACCTGTTTTATTTTAGAGCTGTTTCCCTCTGCTTTTGGTAGAGAATTCACAGACATAAGAACCGTGTTGATTTTCATCTAACTCTCTATAAGAAAGTTAATAAGCATATTTTTCAAAATGTCGCACTATTCCTTTGACTTTGGGAAGTAACATTCTTTATGACTAAACTATAAGCAATACTCTTGAACCTAGGCCTGTGCATACATCTTGTCTAAATGGCTTCACAGGTGTGGTGTAGAAATATCCCACATGATCCGCCCCATATTAATACACATAGATTTATTAATGGATTTTTAGTTTTTACCACTAAAGTGTAATCAATCTTTGCTTATTACACTTCTTTACATGTTTTTCTTTCAGACCTGCTGAAAAGAAGGTGGTGAAAATAACTCCTCCATCATCTGCCAGTGAAGTACGTTGGAGATGTTTGCCTTTTAATCTGCGTATTTTAATACAGAGATCACTGCCACATGTGGAAGTGATTCCTGATCGCTTTTAAAACACACTTCAACAGGATGTTACGCACATGTCCAACAGGAAGTTCTATACACAGTAATTTTCAGTGTTCTTCACAAGTGTGTGAAACCAAATAACGCACAATAGTACATATTAATTGAATTACACCTTAGCAAATATTCATCAGCTGGACCAACACGACTTCCGGCAGCATGTCTTCTGATTCTAAAACTTTTACCTTTTGTTGAGCAGAGACTACAGAAGCGAGCTGAACGTTTCAACTTGCCTGCATCAGCTGAGAGCAAAAAGGCCATACGTGCAGCAAGGTAAGACTTTCCCAGGATCCTTTTCTGTGTTTTTTTTTTTATTTTATTTTTTTAAAGGATACTTCCAGCTCATCACAACTTGGATTTTATTTTTGTTAGTTTTGGTCATCATTCCTATGAGTGACTGAGTGAACACTGTACTCCAGGGTCATTCCTGAGATAAGAGAATGAGACAGGGTCACTAAAAATAATAATAATAATAATAATCTTTATTTGTAGAGCACTTTTCAAAAACAAGTTACAAAGTGCTTTAACAAGTGTAGTCAGACAGGTCAAAAAACACCAGCAGGTTAACTAAACACACTTAGATCAGAAAACAATGGTGAATAGCAAAAAACATTAGTCTGTTGTAAACATTTTCAAAGACCGACATCCTGGTTCAACCTTGACTTAACATACTTGTGTAGTTATACTCACACACATTTTACCTCTGCAGTGAGGGATTATTATTGACAGGTCACTTTTCATTTTTACCTCAAAGTGGCTTAGATAATATGATCTGTGAGAGAGAAAGCTCATTTTACAAAAATTCTCATAAAATAAATAAAAAACCAAAATACAATCTTTCTGTAAATAAAGTTACAACAAAAATATACTATAACATAAACCAAGATACCTGCAATTGTACAGAAACAGGGTTCTGTCTTGCTGTCTGTGCCTGTGTTCAAACCGTGAACAGTCACTTTGCAAGTTACACAGCAGCCCTGCCAAACTCATTCTTCAACAACTCTTCTGACAGATAACAGATTTATGCATGAAAATAATGAAAACTTTAGCTCCATGTAAAAATATCACTACATTTACTCTAAATTTGTTTAAAGTAACTTAGTTTGACATGTATAGCGAACACAGAAAATAAATGCTTACATTCACTGGGGGAAAGTCCAGAACAAGAAAAGGAAGTAAAGCTAGCAGTAGTGCAAGAAAAGAAACTCTATACTTTTTATTAAAACACAGATCATTCCCCTTTATAGGAAAGTGTACGTATTCTATTACGATATAGTTGCTCACGTAAAAATATATTGCCAATGTGGGAAGTGTAGGGAAAATTGGGTGAACCTGTACCCTTCAAAATAAAAGTCTATGCTGAGGCTGCACAGTTGACGAAGTTAAATATGTGACAAAACCACATTATGATGAAGTACTATAGTTCTGCAGAGGCGTCCCGGCCTACAAATCCTGTTCAGGTGTAAGAAAACATGTTTGTTTGGTACAGACCCAAACAAATGTCACATCATCCTGATTTTAAGTTCTGTTAGTGAAAATGAAAACGATTGTTCCAACTAATCATGAAACATACTGCAAATCTTAATATCTGATCCAATTTGATTCTTTGTACAAAATCATGCAGCCATGTTGAAATGATTGTGCTCCTCTTCATCAGGTTTGGCTCCACCGATGCTTCCAGTCCCTCTCCAGGTCTGTTGCTTTACTAAACTGGTTTTATATGTTCTCACTGGAGCAAAAGGTTCCCAGGAATACACCACTCTTTGGGATTTCTCGCCATAAATGGAGTGTGATTTCAAAATAAAATCATGTTTAGTGGTAGTTAGACTTTTTTATAGTCAGATCGTCAGATTATGTGGTAGGAGAACAATTCCCGGTAAAAGTACACTACCTTTTGAGGTAAAGAAAACAGGGATAACTATACAAAATCACCTCTTAAGCTGATGATACACAGGGCAACTTTTTAAGCAATGTTGCTGGGCA